AAAATGATCATCCTGGACTCCATTGCTAGTCATCAACCACCAATTTACTTCAAGTTAGATAATTAAACATCGTTGAATCATCTGTACTAGCTGCCGACATGTCAATTTGAAGCCGAGCACTTCGATCAATCATCAGAAAAGTCCAAGTTCACTTCACTTAATACTCTACTTTCGAACTGTCTTAAGAAGTGATTTATGATTATTTCTATCCATGGATGTCATTTATTTAAGGGTATTAAAGCGTGGAGTACTAATAAGCATTTTGTTTGCCTTAGACTTCACTACCTTGACATAAATGTACTTTAATGGGAGATGGCTTTTTCACTTTGAGAACTAGATCTACTAGATCCATTGACAAAATATCAACCGCTAGGTCACTGTGACCTTCGGCTATCACCTCTAACGTAAACAGCATAAGTTTCTACTGCTTGCCCAATAACAGAATTCCTTGTTCTTTAGTTTCTTGAAATGAATTGACTGATTTATGACAGACTGGCTTGAATAGATGCAACAATTTCTCCTTAAGTAGCACATTAATTTGTGCACTCAGTAACAGTCAGTTTATTACGAAAGTATTAGTTATTCATACTGGCCACTGGTGCAAGTTAGCTGGATAAAGCCATCTTGAACCCCAAAAATACTTGTAGGAAGAAGTTGTGAGATAAATCAACAATTCATAGAAGATAATATCTATATCAGCTGGCCATTTGTCAATCTAGAGGTAAGCACTTCTGCTTAATGTTTTGATAGTAGACTAGGGATGGTTTCATCTCACGTTTGAATGCATATTCAACTTCCAGAACCATTCAGGCGTCTTTATATAAGCTGTGTGACTCCCAGTCAACATCAAATTCCACCAGTCTTCTGGTTTTACACATAGATTCTTTCTTTCTGTTGATGCTGGCTTTATTGCACATTTCCGCTAACTGTAGCGTCGCAGTCCATTGCTGTGGTAGTTTAATGATAAGACATTTTGGACGTCTTAGTCAACTGAACAACCACAGGAAAATTAGAAATTCAAATATGTGGAAAATCAACTCATTTATTATTATTATTGCTCCCTTGGGTTCCTAGTGGAACATAGGGCTTCAACTGCACGTCTCCATTTTCTTCTGTCTTCTGCTATACTTTTCGCCTGCATCCATGTTAATCCATATTCTTTCAACTCCTCTTCACACGATCTCCTCCATGTCACCCTTGCACCGACGTCCCAAACGCCGCTTCCCTTTCGGGTTCCACTCGAGCAATGGCCTGACGCCCGCGCATTGTCACCCGGTGGCCTCCTCAGCGAGTGTCCAATCAATTTCCACTTTCTCCTGCATATTTGTTGGTTGGCGATTGGTTCTTGTTTTGTTTGTTTGTCCCCATAGTTTCCTGTTGGTGATTCTTTCCGGCCCGGCCATCTGATCTTCACTATAGAGCCAGCGAAAACAGTTGTTGGTTGATAAAGGTCTGCAACAGGCTGTTGGAAATATTCTTTGTGACCCACCCGCCCGCCAAGTTTCTGATCCGTATAGAAGAACTGACTGACTTTACGTTTGTATTGAAAATCCGACTGAATTTTGTTGTTGATGCTGGCTGAGTGACGAAGCTTTCTAGATTGATTTCAGGTTGATGAATGTGTTTCTCGCCTTCCCGATTCTCGCTCGATTTGACATCCTCGTCCGTTCCTCCTGTAGTGGAGACAATGCACTCTAGATAAGTAAGTGAATGAAGTAACCTCTTTCAAATCCCTCCCGCTGATGGTGATTGACGTTGGATTTTGTTGTTGTTGATTGGTTATTTTCATAACCTCCGTCTTGTCTATGTTCACCTTGAGTCCTGTCTTCGCCGGCTGCTTCTTCGACCAGTTTGTCGGTTTTCGCTTGTAAGTCTTCGATTGTGTGTGACATCAAACATAAATCATCCGCGGAATCCAGGTCTTCTAAGTTCTTCACGTCGGTCTGTCCAGGATATTCCTGTCTTCTCGTTTCTCAATGTCTGACGACGCATAATCCAGTCCACCACAATTAGGGTTATCATTCATTGGTGGTAATAAGCACCCTTGTCTGACTCCTGTGTTTACTCCAAACGCCTCGGTGAGTTTTCCGTCGTGGATGACTTGACATGTGCCGTTGTCGTACAGCTGTTGAATAAGGTTGATGAATATTTGGGGTACGCCATAGTACTCGAGTAATTTCCAAATTACTTCACGATCAACGCTGTCTAGTGAAGGCCTTCTCAAAGTCTATAAAGTTGAGGTAGAGTTAGGTTTGATTGCCATTCCATGCTTTGTTCTGTGATGATGATACGTAGAGTTGCGATTTGGTCAGAACATGATTTGCCTTTCCTGAATCCAGCTTGTTTTGGTGGGGCGGAGTTCTGTATCCAGTGCGTCCTTTATTCTCTCCAGGATGATGTGACTCAGAATTTTACTTGGTTTCGACAGGAGGATGATTCCTCGTGAGTTCTTGCAGAGAGAGTTGTAAGTCTCCCTTCTTTGCTAGTTTCACGAGGTAACCTTTCCTCCAGTCAGTAGGCACCTTTCCCTCCTTCCAAACCTTTTGCAATAATGGAGTGAGTCAGCATGTCTGCTGTAGTCTCTGGGTTCGCTTTCAGTGCTTCAGGGGGTATTCCATCTGGTCCAGTTGCTTTTCCAGCTTTCAGAAGCTTGATTGCATTCAAGACTTCAGCTCTCGTTGAAGGATTGGTGTCAACTTGCAGTTGTGTGCGTGCTGTTGTTGGTATTTCCGGACGGGTTGCAGGTGATAGTCTGTTCAAGATTCCTTTGAAGTGATCCGCCCATTGTTTAATCTGTTTTTCTTCCTTGGTAATTGGGTTCCCTTGGCTTTCTTTTATGGGTTTCACTTGTGTTGATCTCTTCCTGGATAGAGACTTGGTTATCTGATATAGTGTCCTCAGGTTCCTTTTTCCTGCTGTCTTTTCAGCTTCAGTGGCCAGGTTGTCGTAGAATCGTCTTTTGTCCTTCCTAGCACTCTTCTTCACTTCTTTGTCCAATGTTGTGTAAGTTGAGCTCAGAATCTCTCTCTCTCTTGGCCGTCTTTGCATTGAATCATTTTCTCTTTCACCATTCTCCTCTCTTCTATTAATTTCCAAGTGTCCGTTGAGAGCCATTCCTTGTCTTGTCTCTTCTTTCTTGCTTGAACCGTTGAACACGTTTCGTTGAGAATCGCCTTCAGAGACTTCCAATGTTCTTCCACGCATGATTCTTCAGTGATGTCACGTAGTGATTCCTGCTTTGCTCTGACAGTTGCAGTGAAAGCGTCTTTTGTGGTTGTGTCCTTCAGTAATTGAGTGTTGAACTTGCATTGTGGCCTATCCCCAATGCAGAGCGAACACTCAGTTACAATGGCAACAGTCCAATAACACAAAAAAGGAGTTGTATACGAACATTATTCAATACAGCCAACCAGGAGTCATTGCAGCACTCCCAACTAAAGGAAAATTGAAGAAATAAATCCCATGGATGTCTTCCAACAGAATGGATATCCACGGAACTTCAAAAAAAGACATCTACCCTCAAGCCAACCTATCAAATCAAAAGTTCCCGAGGAAAGCACAAAGAAAATCACACTACCATATATAAAGGACATATCAAAAGTCACTGCAAGACACTTCAAACCTTTAGGAATTGACATCGCAAACAAATCACTTCACTCACCTGGCTCTATATCAGCTAAAAGACTCAACAACGTAAGAAGATAAACCCAACATCATCTACAAAATAATTTGCAACGACTGCTAAAAACACTACTCTGGCCAAAGTCGACGTTCTCTTCGTCTTCGTATTCATGAACATAAACTAACCGCCAAAAGACATGACATCCACTCCCTCATATTACTACATACAGACAACCACGGACATCAATTCGATTGGGACAACGTTCAGATATTAGACAGAGGAAACAACAAGAATGCTAGTGAATTTTTCGAAGCCAGATATTCCAGTAAATCATCAATCAATAGACACATCAAGATAGATGAAATTTACCAACCGATAAGAAGGAAATCCCCCACAAAAAAAGGCTCAAAGTTCAGATGAAGGGAACAATCAGTACCAATACGAGTAGCCTAGAGGGTGTGAAAACACTCAAAAACAGATGACTAATAAACTCGTGGAGAAATCTGGAAGCTCACTTCAAATTGAAGTATGCACTGAAAATGTTGCCTAGTGGGGCAATGAAAGACTCACAAATAAACCATCTAACTCAAAGGATACAACTACACCAAAAAGAGTTTGGCCTACTGACCTTAAAAACCAAAACAAAATAGCTAAACAAGGCTGGAAAATCTATCCAGCTAGATTCTAAATGGAATGATTACTTAGTCTAAGTAAGATGAAAGCGTTTAGAAATGTTAAAAATTATGACTATTTGTCACCTCTTGAGCTTTGAAAATTTTGCTGATCCTCACTTAGAAGATCTTTGTTGTCACTCTTTTGTCTTGATTTATTGTAACACGATTCTACCTCTAAGGAACTTCTTCACCTCTGAATTTAAAGTGTCATTACTATTAAATCTTCAACATTTTGTCTCTCTAGTTTGTTTTAAAACATCTAGTTAATCGTAGCTACAAATTATCATAGTATCTTCGGTAATTACTGACCATTATTACGTTTTATCTGTGTCTAAGACGTGAATTAAATCGGACACATCATATCATGGATTTATTGCAAGGAAAATATGATGAAAATATGACTGGACAACCATGTTTCTTTGCAAAACGTTGGAAATAATTCTTACACGGATTCTGAGATGTACTCTACAGTGATCACTGAACTGTGGGATATGTTGGTTCCATCAAATAAAAGAATCCTGACCTTTACTTTATTATTCAACTTGAAACATTAATACAAAATGTTATTTTTTTTATTTCAGGAAATCATCGCTGTGGTGGAGATTGGACAAGTTATGCTGAAATTCTATTGGATACATTGATCAACAAATCGAATTGAAGAAATTTGATAGCCTATAAAATTAAATTCTAAGATAGAATCATAAGTTGTCTTTTCCTTATTGTCATGAATAATAATTAGGATAAATATTGTTTGTTTAAGTATAAATAGTATAAATTTTTCACAAATTACTATCGTACAATGTGTTTTACCTTCATATCAAGAAAATATGAACTCTAAACATGGTGACATGTACACTTTCAAAGCATGATTTAAATACCCTCATGCATCCAACGACTAATAATAATTCATTACCTTCTTTAAGATCAGTGTATGATACAAATTTAGATGAAGCTGATGATTATGATGGTGATGAAGTTGATGAAGATGAAGGCGAATATCATAATATCGAAGAAGAAGGTTTAGATGACACCAGTTCTTTATCGAAAGATAAGCGTAAACAACTTGAACAATTCAATTATAAAGAGTCTACCTCAGATACAACATCTTCATTATCTTTTCTAAGTCGACGTATTACTCGAAAGTATGCAAGTGAATTTATTCTACCCGATGATACACGTGTAGCTGTTAGTCGTCTTGAAGGTATTTATCCAATGGATAATAATGAACAAGTTATACTAAGTCTATCAGTTGGTCATAAAAACATTTACACAGGTCAGTATACATCAAATGATTATCCGTCAACACCGACACAACCGTCTAGTTCAAATTATTGTAATAATCAGTTATCTTCGAGTAGTTTAGAGAAAATTAGTACACCAACTATGAATGTGAATAACAAGTCTGGTTCAAATCATACTAATACTACTGATGATAATTCAGATTCTTTAGATAGAAAATCACAAAAAATCAACAGCGAAGTAAGTTAAGCCTTTTTTTTAAGAATGAAATTTATTGTTGTAAAGTCATTCTTATCAATAACTAAGATGTCTGAGAAACAGTATGCTGATGAACTACCAAATTACGAGTATTACGAGTTCTTCCTTCCTTTTCAGTTGTTGTCAGATGTAATTAACTTCTAAGGTACCTTGAGGAGTCTTCAGGCTTACGTTTTAATTGGCCTTTCAAGAATATACTCCAAATAAACTGTGATTTGAAGTAAGAATACAACGTTCATATACCAAAGATTTCTAAGGTGAAATCTAGATTGAAAAGCTTCCAAGAGTGAACAGAACCATTTGACTTATTCACTGGGTTAAATACTTTTTTATTACCGTTATTCGGTTTCAGTATGTTACTAGTTAATCTCACTTTAGGAATGCTTGGGTTAACGAGGATGTCCTCTAAAATGAACACGAACTAGTCCAAGTTCAAATTCTACTGGCCGCTTCCAGTATAATTATATTGAATCCTGTTTGGCAACTGAATTTTCAAGTTAGAAGACTGAAGATTAAACAATACTGTGGAGTTGAGCTCACTTAATACTGTGGCAGAAAATCATCGTCAACTGAAGAGTTTGCTTAAAGCTTCCTTTTTTCGAGTAATATTTAGGATGATAGGATACAGCAGGGACTAATTTTATGTTGACAACGAAAATAAAACCTCTTTAAACGTTCAGCCTATACAGCAGTTTAAATAAACTACAGCCTAGTTCTCACCCTTGACTGAAGTCCTAATGTGAGATTATAACCACTGAAAAAAGTCAGTTAATATTTGAGAAAGGTTGATCACTGGCAATGATGACAATTAAATAGACTCATTTCGACTTATTTAGAAAATAGCTTATATTTGGTTTAATTCCTGAAGAAAATCGTTTTCATATAGAACTAAAATAGGTATCCAATTCTCTTTGATTTCCAGTGTTCTTTTCCTTCAAGCGGTAATAACAGCAACAATGACGACTTTGATCAAGACAAAATGTTTACAAACTTTACAGGATTCCCAGTGAATTTTACTATGTAATATTTACCCTTCGTAGAGGATCTTCGTGTAGAATAGTAATCGACAGTATATTGTATGACTTAATGATGTTCGATTTGAAGCGAACTCCAGCTTCTCATGATACTCTACCCCATCTCTTTCGCGAAATGCATAGGATTAGGTTGAAAGCCAATTTAAAAAACTGCGCGGGTACACTTTGCAACCCAAGGACATAACTGAAGGATTAAAATAATCAAAAATGGAGAGAATTTAATGCATTATGTTGGATGAAAATTCGGGGAGCTCTGTGATTTGAGCAGGTTAACTCTGTTCACCTAATAAGGGACTTCATTGAGAGATGGTGTATCTTAGCGACTTTGTTCTTCGATAATTCAATAGTAGGATTCATGCAAACCACGTATGTGGTCCGGCTTCAATTTTTGGCCAACGTTCTTCTAATTCTCGCATAGCCGGTAGCAAGTAAAGTGATAAGAGAAGTTTGGGTGTGAAGCTAGCGACGCCGGACTGCAAAATGCAGCATCACCGCTACCTATACTTCTCCGATTTTAGGCATTTTATTTAGTATGGTAAGTGTATAATACTTATTATATCATTAGAATCACACAGGTTTAAGAGAATTTGTGTGTACTGGTATTAAAATTTCGCTAGGGTCTGCCTTACAATCCATTATTCTGCATAAATAAACAATTGAACATCCAGTGATTAAACACTCTTGAAGACTGACAGTTTCCTGTTTCAACTTTTATACTGAAACAGTTATAAAACGCTTGATGTCACCTAATGTCTGAGAAGTTGTCAGGTGATAGAAATTAGTAGGTGTGTGTTGACATCGATTATAGTTGTTAGTTGATGACTGAAAGTAACTACTGTAAAAACTTAAAAGTTGTCATAATAATTAATAATTTCTGGAAAAGCTACAAGTAGAAAATATAAAATTACTGAAAAGGTATGCATAACTCAGTATATCACATGTTAGTAAACAGTGTTATAAACCGACTATGGAGAACACGTAGAGAAGCATTTTCTTCACCATCCATGAAAATGTATATATTTACAGATTTTTTTTGATTTCTGATTTACAGCTTGATTCCACACTGTATTTTCGGTACAAGTATGGAATTATCAGCATGGATATCGGTAGCCCAAATTTTGCAGGCCAACCATAGATATCAGGTGTGCGCCGGCGTGGGCTCGAACCCCGGACCATGTGCATGGTCGGCGAGAGTCCTAACCACTGTGCCACCGACGCAAAACGAAGTGATCATCTGAGTATCATTTTAAAATGTTTGAAGGAATGTTTGTCAGAATAGTGACAGGGTCGTCAAAAAATGTATGATATCTATTTATTTCACTGTCGCATGTTAACACTGCTTTGCTGACATATATTATTTCTTAGTTCATTAATGAACCTATACTTAGGACTGTTGATATTCTTTATGATTACATGTCACCTAGTAATTTTTTATTTCATATTTACCTCATATATTTCAAAGATTTAACATTATTATGATGTACTGTGAATATTCATTTCAATTTTGTTCAATAAGTGACTGGTGCTGCTAAGAGGAGTTCAGTACGATGTACATCTTACATTGAAAATCTGGCTGGAAATTCGGTCGCTTTTTACAGATGTGTTGATGACCTGGTTATAAGATCTCATAAAAATGAAGATGCGACTTATCTAATAAATAGACGTAACTCTGTACAAAAGCATATCGACCTCACTTGTGAGGGAGATAGGTGCAACCAACTTGCATTCCTAGACATAAGTGTGAGTTGAAGACAGCCTAATTCAGTTAAGCAAGATATATACAGAAAGCTTACTTGAACTGAGCAATTTTAAGTTTTCACAATTTCTTTCTATTATAGTCGTACAATAGTATAATAGCACAAGAGAAGCTTGGTTAAATAATTATCTTACCGGGTTCAAGATATCTACACAGCTGATGTAGTAGATGATGACAGTAAAGTATTGAATGATATACCTGAGAAAAACAGATATTCACTAAAGATTTTATACCTGTGTAGAGTCTGCAATTTACTCTGTTCCTCAGTGGGGTAATTATATACATTTACTATATAATAGGAAAACAATGGCAGGATTTTAAGACAGACTAAATTCTGTCATTGTCACAGTCAAGTATGCATCGGGGCTTATAAGTGATACAAAATGCTAAAAGCATTCTCAATCACAGATCTCAGCGATGCACAAATAATAATGTCACACACCCCAGTGCATACCAGTTTACATGTGTGTGTGCGAACACACAGAGGGAGGAGTAGTCACATCTTGCACGTAGTGGTAGGATAAGCTTTACCCAAATGGCTTGAAAAATAATTTAACTGTGAAATCCTGTAGACTATCACCTTCGTCCATAGAAAAACAATTGATATGAATCATAAGACTGATATAAAACAGCTCTCAGGATTACGTAGTGAAATAGGCTGAGGCGGTAGACATATGAAGCGAAGTGACAAGTAAATGTGTGAATTATCAAATTGTTCGAAATGTATCGGGCAAATAAATCACACCATTCAGATAAACTTCGTGATTTAATAACGGCATCTAAATTTGCTGAATGGAGTCGTGGTTTTAAACTTATCTCATTCTGATGGATACTGGTAGTATTTTGGGTATTTCATTTGCGTTCTTATCAATTTAAGTGACAGAAAATGCCTAGTACACTGAATGAATTGTTTTCATTGATATAAGTATAAAACTTGGGCACTGTGGTAGAGTATAACTCCATTATGGCTAAGATTTTATTTTGATAAATCACACAGTGTTGTACAGTTATATGAACTGATGACGTTTCGAGCACAAACTATTGCCACTCATAATCATATCAAGTTACTCACACAGCTGTTTTTCTTCATTTATATACATGTGTGGAATCGATTAGATATTGGATTAAAATTCACTATGAGATAATGTACATTCAGAAATAATAATACGGGTGTTATTAATCAATAAGACGAGTGTTTTAATAGTCATAATAAGTTATTTGTTAGAATGTTGTAATGTGTTTGAATTGAATTGTTTTCATCTAGAAACTTGTGAAACTTGATGCGTATTTGGAAAAATTGATTTGTATTCAGTGACTATTCCATTAGCCTGGAGTCAGAAGAAATCCAGTTCACCTATACATAATTCAGATGTCTAGTTTACTTTACATAAAAGTTGTTCGATCAATCTTCAAAATACAACACCTGCACTGCTTTTGATGAGATGACCACTGAGTGTACTATGAAACGGTATACATTTTTATATTTAAGCAGATTCTAAAAGTAAATGTTTATAGATATAAGAGAGAATCAGTGCTTAACTGATCACAGTGATTACAATTTTATGAACCTAATTTTAATACAAACTTTTGTGGTTATATTTGGTGTAAAAAATAGTTCTGTAAAGTCTAGTGATAAGGAAATAAAAGTGATCTACTGTTCTCTCTTACAACACAATTTGAAATATTCATAACAAGATTCTGTAGACATTTGTTTAAATGTTACGTATTTCTTCTCTTTTCATATATGTGCGTCGGTGGCACAGTGGTTAGGACTCTCGCCGACCATGCACATAGTCCGGGGTTCGAGCCCGCACCGACGCACACCTGATATCTATGGTCGGCCTGCAAAATTTGGGCTACCGATATCCATGCTGAAAATTCCATACTTGTACCAAAAATACAGTGTGGAATCAAGCTGTAAATCAAAAAATTAAAAAAAAATAAAAAAATAAATTTATGAAAGTAGTTTATCTATATGAACATATAAATATGTTTAGTTATGATAAACACTATATGGGAGCATGCGTACAGTGACAAGAACATAAAGCATATCGCTGAGAGCTGTAAAACTGTGCTCAGAACAGCTGATAAACCAGACTAACATAGTTCCCAAGATGTAAAGATATTTGAGGTTTCATACAAACTCCATGCTTGCCTTCCATGTTGATTGCCTCGGTTTCAACTTCTCTTTT